AGAAGAACTACTCCTTTACACGCCCAATCTGATGGTATGTTTGAACGTTTCAATTGCACAATGGAACAGCACCTATCCAAAATAGTAACAGATCATTAACGTAATTGGGATGTCTTTTACCCCTTCTGTTAGTGGGCCTGTAGTAGCTCCGCGCATGAAGCTACCGATTGCTCACCAGTCAAAGCTATTAGAAGAGACATAAAATCTTCCAGCTGATCTGATGTTTGGATCACTAGAAGAGGCCCTCGTACGAAGGAAACTTAAAAGAGCTGCTGAATTATAAAGACGAACGAGCAGAAGCAAATTGAATATTGCTAGCCATCGAGCAAAGGCAAGATACGACGTGTTGGCGAATTCAAACGGCCTCCAACAAGGTGACTCCGATTGGTCATACCACCCGACGCGGAAATATCGGAAAAGTCACCCCAGTGAACTTAAAATTGGTAAGGATCTTACACTGTTATAAACAAATGTAATGACGTAGCCTACCGTATTCAGCGAATCGCTTGACTGAAGATTAATTTTTGTTCACCTAGATAGGCCGTCGACTCAAGTAACTGCCAATAGCATCGTTCAAATCAGGAAACGGCATTTTTTGTGTAAGCTGATTTCTTGTAAATGCTTTTCAATACTAAGGCTTGCCCATATGTTAACGACTTTCCGATCATTTGCCCTATTTTATCGGTAAAGTGATATTTAAAAGCAAAATAATCCCACCAGTATGTTCATCTATAGTACATATCTTATCAATAAAATTCGTCTTAATAAGATAAATATGGCTATAAATGTCATAACAACCTATACATTGTTTGATTTTTGTAGGAGCGGAGATTAAGTAAAAACCATTAGAATAGAGCTGTGTATAAAATGAACTGGTTAGTAGTACTGATTGCGTCATCATCGATTTTTGTCGGTAAGTAATAATGGGCTGATCAGTTTTATTTCGGATAAGCTGCTATTCTCTGATCAAACAATTTTGAATGCGGACTAAAATGTTCTCAAATAACATTTGAGACAATCCATTGTTCGATCATATCAGCATGTGTTGTGTCCGTGTTACGCAAGTACAGCTAGTACAGCATTTAAAAAATTATTTCCAAGAACCAGATATTTAGGCTAGAGATTTAAGACATAAAGTATTTTTTCAATTCAGGAACAACTTCAGGAACTCTGCAGGCATGTTACAATTGCGTGGGTTCTGCTAATTCTACTTGTGGCACTGGTGATTTCAACTCTTCCGATTCCAACATCTTCGTGTCCGATTGCCTGCAGATTTACCACTACGCTAATACAACTGAGGCGGTTTGTGTCACGTTGTCTGGGCCCACGGCGATTCCAAAATACAGTAAGATATACTTTTTTCGTGTTGTTTCGCTAGCTTTTTCCTAGTTCTATCATGAATTTACAGTTTCTAAGTTTGATTGATAATGTTTCAGATGGCAGCGATATAACATATCGGCTGTGCTTACCTAAGCTCATAAATGACATTGAACTTTGCCAATACGTGACTGAAAATAAGACCTATACACAGTCACAATATGGCTTTAATGTGACCAATTGCAAAACATGTACAAGCGATTTTTGCAATGGATCACCTGCATATGTGGGGTCAGTAGCTGCCGTTATTTTAAGTGTTTTTGCTCTATTGCATGTAATTTATTAATATAATATAGAAATTTGAAAAATTAAAGCGTTTTAACACTTTCCTTAACATTTGAATGCATCAGAAAATTTTAGTCATAAAAATTGCCGTTATTTGAATCTGATGCTCACAGCACAAATCACGATTAATTTATGAATAGTACTATTTCATAAATAAAGGACCTCATATCGGTCTCATTCGAAAACAACAGAAAGGAAAAAATGGAGTGGTTTGAAGACCTACGTCAACATTGGTTGTAGCTAATAACGTCTCCACATTGTGTTCAACAGTTATATTTGCTTTTACAAAATTCGAAGAATTTATGCAGCAATCTTGCTCTTCTGTTGTATTATACAGTGGCGGTAATGGTCACATCATATGGAAAGTCTTGTGGTCAGACTTAACACCAAAATAGTGATTAATGTTTTGGCCAAAATAATAAAATATTCAAGGCTGTCAGGTCAAGCACGTGGAGGCTGTCCCAAGTTATTTTCAGTCCATGCACTACTGAGATTCCCGTAGAAATCTAAATAATTCATGAAAAAATGGTTTGCTATCAAAAATTCAATTTTTATAATACTGAACCAACAAAATCTCAGTTGAAGTTTGAAATAAAATTGTAAAAGGAGGTTTCATCTTTGAAACCCTCAAAAATGTTGGAAAATTTTTGAACCTTTGCCATAGTTACTAATTATATTAAATATAATATGTACCAAGCATTAACGACCAAATATATTTCAAATTCAAATAATTATGACTGAGCCTGTATAATAAATATGTATATAAATATACTTAATATAATTTCCCTTTCGTACGTTTATTCCTTAATATTTCCCATCTAAAATTTATCAATTGGGAACTTTTGAAGCGAAAGCAAAAATGTTAATCTACACTTGATTTAATTGCCCTCCTACACTATGTTAGTAGATGGTATTGAAAAATCCGAATCAATTATCTGGTTATGCGTATAGACTCCTTATTCATAGGCATATCTCGTATGCAATATTCTCAGCTACTTGAAGACTAGCTTAAGAAGAAACAGAATAGCAACATCAACACCTAAAGTTGATTTAACCACTGCTTTCAGTTGCAATTGTAAGGGTTCGGCATCATCTGAAGAGTATTATCGTTCCAGAATAAACCATATATGTAGTTGTGAAAGTCTATTAAATACATTCATTCGATATCGGAAATATTCAAAAGTTACAACGAGCTTTTCTGCGATACACGAATATATACGGATTAAACTATAAACCAGAAGATTCTGAAAGAAAAATTCGAAATCATGGAACAACTTTAAAAATCTACTTATGCCATCAATAACATATTTACCCTGCAAATTTCTTTAAAAATCTGAATTCGATTAGAAATAACAGTTGGCTTCTTGTTGTGGATGAGTCCGGAAACTAAAAAAAAATGTTTAATGAAGCCGCTAATATTTTCTGCTAATATTGGAATAAATCGCTGAATAATATATGCCTGAACAAACAGAACAGCTTTAAAAACTCATTAAAAAAGCAATTTTTCACATTATTTTCCCGTTTCTCACAAAACGATTCAGAAATTCCAATATCTCGGTGATTTGCTATGATTTATGATTTCTGAAATAGATTCCTGAGGAAAACTTTTTACTTTTAATGCCTCCGAAGATTTGGAGCTCACTTCATTGAAAATTAACTGGAAATTAAAAATTAAGTTTGAAAAGTAGGGGCTAACTTGACAAGCTCTAGTAACGACTAAAAGAACCTTAGTAGCGATTTTCATCTAAAGTATTTTAAAAGAGTTTAAGTACTTTTAACAATTGAACTATTTTAGTCCAAAACTAGACCTAAATATTGTGATATCTTTATCTAAAAGTCCCATCCAAATAAAATATTGTGGTATAAAATTTTCTGACGTTTACATATTTTCTGCTTTCGTGACTGAAAAACATCAAGCAGAAGAACGCGAACTAAGATAAATTACGATCTTAACTAAAAGAACGTTTCATTCGAAGAGTGTAATTAAACCGAATTAAACGGTAAATTAGATCAAGAACCTCCTTCAAATAGAGATTAAATAGCGCATTTACTTTTAAGCGTCCTATTTGTAATAGACTTTCTGAATCACGATGCTAGTAAAGTATGCTGATGTCTAAATATTATTATACCTACTAAAGTACTATCAGTCAAATATGAAAATTATCATATTTTCAGGGCTTGTAAAATGTCTGTGGGTCATAGAGTATCGAACTAGAGTTATCTCTCAACATTGATTGTATAAATTTATTTGCCCACTTAAAAATAACAGCAAATAACACGAACCAAAATGCTGTGAATATTACAAATAACATCGAAGTCGACAATGGAATTTCATGAAATATACTTAATCTCTTTAAAACGTTCAATCTTTAAGCCAATTATCTACATCTTATACATGATTGCCGGTACGTACTTGAGGGTTCCACGTTTCAATCTACTTGATCCCGTAATACGTTCGTACCTGTTGAGACTAGATTGATATGAACTGCCTCTAATATCTGCCTACTATAATATTCTTTAGAAAATTGTTGCAGACATACGGATACAAAACAAAAGTCTGTGCTTTTATAGCTGGCTTCATATTTAACCATTCTTTCGGTGTAAAGAGTAACACCAGTTTTCTTATCTGCAGGATGTTTCACTCTGCTCTTTTTGGCTCCAAGTTATATTTCGCATAGAGTATTTGAACATAATTTTTGCTTTTAACATTCAGCTCATCTAATTTGTCCTGTTGTGTTTTATCTATTAGTTCTTTGTGTTAAAAATTATATAGTGAAATTACAGTTTTATTACTTGTCAACTATCTTCCTTGTGAACGTTGTTATGGCAAAACGCTTTTTGGTTTGCATACTAAAAAGTGAGTATTGTTTCTATGCCGATCCATTTCTCGCTATTAAACGAAAACTTGTTCAAAAATTCGACGTAAAACGGAATTTGCGCAATACTTTTAAATTGTTTTTAAATACTGTGTTAGTGCGTTCCGTATAAATGAATCTCAAATAATGCTTAAAGGTTATTTACGAGTTACGGGCCACTTTCACTTCCTCTGAGGAATCAGGTTGCCAACCAAGGTAAACTTGATTCTATTGTTTTTCACTCATAGCAGTTCGTTAAATAAACTGCTTTAAATCGTAGCAAAAAAACCTGCATTTTTTGAAGGAAATATCATGCTCCCTATATGTATAGGCTTCAAGAAACCCTTGAAGGATTAAAATCAATTTACAATCACACTGTACAACAGCAACTCTAACAAAACCATTTTAACATTGATTTCTAATTCGGCACGTATCTTATCAACCAGAAACGGATCTCTAAGATAATTATAGCTATAAATGTCAAAACAATGTATATCTACGTCGATATTTGCTCCAACGGTGATTTAATGAAAACGATCTAAATAAATTAGTGCGGAAAATGAATTGGGTCTTAGTATTTGTTGCGTCATCTTCGCTTTTCTTCGGTAAGTGTAGGGCATTGTTTTCGCTTTTTTGCGGCTGGTCAAAACTGCCCAAATTATTGCATTTATTTTGCGGAGCTTAGATAAATGAGCCGTTTCCATTCACTTATAGAGCTTACTACTCAAGCAAATATTTATAGATGCAAGGTTTTTATTAAACATTTTCTTAAAATATTATTTTCATTATATATTAAAGTTTTAAACATTGATATAAGTTGTTGGATAGGGAATTTGTGGTTAGAACGGATTCCTATATTATCCCCAAATAAAGCAAATCAAACAGCATATTGAACAAATATTTAACCATATACTCCACCTTAAGCTAAGTGAAACAAGATAATATAGGAACAAAATATTATGTGTAAAACTTAGATATCAATACCACTCAACAAATCGCGGAGTTACTTCTAAAAAATAATTTTGGTAACTTCACTGGCCATCATCATGTACAAGCTTCATCAGGAATGAACTTTTCGGAGTATTTCTAGCGAATCGCCTGACATTCTTCATGGATTTCCCGCCCTCGCCTGCGTCAAAATAACGAAATCTGGCAGCGTTTAGGTAACACTATTTTATCCACAGAACTTTGGTAAAGCATCCAGAATCTGAAATACCTTCTCAGATATAGAACACACTGTATTGCGACCCAAAAATATCAAAATTCATATCCTCCGCAAGACTTTGTGATTGTAAACTATGGGTGGAACTAAATTAAATGTGAATTCAATTGTGAATTCAAGTTGATTAAATTGAGGTGATCATACAAGCAAACAAGGAACTATTTTATATGTCGTGGCTTATACGAACTAGTAGCGAAAATGCGCCAACACGGAATATTTAATTAAAAATCGACCGTTTTGATTTGGATTCAGCCAATTTCCTTGTAAAGCTTCCCAGATAATTTTTTCAATAGTTCTTGTTCTTTGCTTTTCGTAGAACTAGAAAAGCATTTTTAGAGTAGAGAAGAGAGTTTTTGACTGTTCCGATGCTTAGATACTCATTAAATATTCTGTGATTCAGTTATATTTCATTATTGCACAAGCCTTTCCCGTGACCAGTCTAGTTTAAGAAATGTCGTATGGTATAAATATCAATATTTACAGGAGAATTCGCAATTATTAAGTTTATATTTATTGCATTTAGGAAGCAGTTTAGCTGATCTTAAGGCATGTTATGGATGCAGTGGAGGCAACAATTCTGCATGTGCTTCCAATACATTCAACACATCAAGCGAAGAAATTTATATTTCCGATTGCCTGAAAGTTTATCACTTGTACAATACAACAGAAGCAGTTTGTTTGAAGGTGGTAGGGTGGTCGGACGACGGTAAGGAAACGTTTTTACTATTTTCAACACCAACTTACACTCATTTCTGTAAATTTTTGCACGCTAGCTGTTGATGAATGAATCCATTTTTTTAATTTTTTAGATTCAAATATAGTCCAAAGATCTTGCGCCCCTAAAACCGTTGGTGACACTGAAGTTTGTGAATATTTGACTAAAAATAATACTTATACCCAGCTCTACGGCATCAACGGGACAACAACATGCAACACGTGCACATCCGATTATTGCAATGGATCAACTTCACATCTGGGGTCAGCGTTCGCTTTGTTTTTAAGCATATTTACAATATGGCATGTAATTTATTAATATAAAATGTAGATTTTGTAAAAGGTATCGTTTGAAATATATCTCATTAACCTAAACCTGAAATATATCTTGTTGTCGGTCTATAACTGCACAAGAATGTGCAGAGTGTGAGATCTCAAGGTGCTTTTAATCAGCAAGTGTTGAAAAACCTAAGCTTCTCTGCATCATCAACAATTACAAAGCAATAGCTAAAGCTAGATTATGCCAGTGTATCATATATTTGTTGTCTTGGATCGGAGTACGTAAGGTCTCATTTACGGCCGGGATTTATAAGCGAAACTTGTCTTAAGAATAAGAATTGCCTCCGACTTCGTTTTATATAGCGATCTCATGCTCAAGTCGATGCTGACAACGTTGAAACATCTTGCAGTTTCTGAAATAAACCACTAGTTTGAGTACGATCTCTAGTTTTCCACCTTGCTCAGGTAAGCTGCACGTCGCCTGATTCAGAGATGTAAAGTCACTGTTGTGCATTTTAAGTTTTTAAGTCCGGCAAAATGTTATTTTGGAAATATTGTTTTAAACAGAAATTATTGCTTTGATTCATAAAAGGCCTTTCTGATTTTTGAGAGAACTTTTTAATGTAGCTAATATCCTCAAGTTCCGTAGGTAAGTAAATCTCCATGTGAGCCTCAATAATTTTGTAACAGGAATAGTGTCAATCAGTTAATAGCATCGAAAGATTTGCTGAATACTCCTTACATAGGTAAGGCTGATCTGTAAAACATTTACAGATGTTTTACGCGGAAAATAAGAATTTTGACGTCAGTAAATTTCGCAAATAATCAGTTATCATCTAATAAGATTAATATGTTTACGTAAAAGACAAAATGCTTCCAAATTCAAGTAGGTACTTGCGAAATTAAAGTACATAATTTTTAAAAATCAAATAATATATTTACGATTTTTAGTTAGGAGTGAAGAGGGATTAAATGGTGAGCAGGAACACATGAGTTTGAATGCCTTTACTGCGAAATTAAAGTTACGAAGAGGGATCAAGTGTTTTATTTCAAAATAGATCAATGCTTTAACGAGCTCAACCCGATTACAACTAGCAAGTGACTGAAATCCATTCAACCAAATATGAAAGTTTTCGTCACGCTTTATCAGTGCGTTTTTACATTTTCTCTTTTACAAGATTTGCTAGCTGGATCTGCTCTGTGGAAGAAAGGAGTGTTTGGGATAAAACTCCAAAATTTAAAGTGAGGAAAAGCTCGTGCTTTTCATTAATTGGTGGTGAATCCGTATAACTCTTCAACATTCCAGATCTTGGAAAAGCTACTCAAGACTGATTGATTGTTAGGTTCGAACTGATTTAGTCGCAATCAAACAGTCGGTTTATTATTAAGTCTTTGCTAGCTGACATGCAATATATTGCGCTAGTATTGTATACGGAGTCTTAGCAAATGATTGCTCAAATGGAGCGTATAATTACGCAGCGCCTTAATAAGATTAGGCTGCAATTAATCCCGGCCATATTGCCACAATAGTTTCGGAGCTGTAGTAATCTTAATTGAGAAATTTGTCATGTTATCATCGTGACCATTAGACAGACTGAGGTGACCACAAAATCTAATCACTGTCCGTGATTACACCTGGAATGTTAATTTCACTATTTCCCATTGAAGATATGCCTTCTCATTTATCTGTTCTGTTAAATCGATCGGAAAATTAGTGCTATTATACTAATAGGAAAATCCTAAGTAGTAGCTTCGTAAATAGTAAAAAACTATCTGAGCCGTACGCATGAAAATTCGCGTAGTACCATTTCAGAAATTGTATGTGAGTTAATGCAGAGTTAAGAATATTGACCGTTATCTGCAATGTTAATAAATTAATGTAAAATTCTTATCACTTGCTTAGATTCTGGGGACTACTTGATCATGGGCAGGACATGTTCTGTTTGTAAGTTATTACGGGTTGCTGCATAAAATAGTCGGGATACTGATGAAATGGTTCGCACTTGTCGAAAACCAGCAATAAAATTTAAGGCAATACAGGAAGAATTAAGCCAGCGGCATTGAATGGGCATTCCAACCGAAATTCTCGTACAGCCCCTGTTCGGAAAGGGAAGGTATCCCCTATGGATATAGCTTAATTAGTTCGTGTTGGAGTTCTCCGCTTGCTAACTGACCAAATGACTATAGGAAGTACTTAGTTCAAAATATTATACATTTTTAATGTGAGTAAATCATATAGTTTAATAATATTCCGAATAAAATTAGGCTTAAGTCAGCTTTAAACTAAAATATACGATGACCTAAATTACTTTCCGATTGGTAAATATTCAGCTAATATAATGGAAAAATTCGAGTGGATGCTTATCTGAATTACGTCTTACAAATTCAAATCAAACAATTAGTCGATATGTTTTTGCTCAACAATTATTAAAGCATTATGACAATTTATCAAAAACCTACACCGTAAAATGTGTATGTTAAGTAGATCAAAGTTTAAAACAAGCAGGAATTGGCAACAATACTGTTACTTAAGTCTCAAGTTAATTGAATACCATTTAATTAAACATTTTATCACATTTTGAGCTTGTAGGTAGACAATTTCTAGGCTTATACTCCTTTCAAACAGCGACAAAATGTGTTACTTATTCCAGAGGTCCTTAAGTATCAAGCCACCGATCCCTAAAGTTATTTAAGTCTGATCCCCAGACGATCATTACCCCTTTCAATTACGGAGCTGTACAAGAAATGAGATTTCATTAGTCTTGCGAAAGATGACCTAACATCACCTAGAACATATTGCTGGGGTTCTAGTTCTAATCCGTATACTTTGGCAATGTTTGCTATAAATATTTGTCTAGTTCTGTTTAGATTGAATTTGTTCGACTAACTAGAATCTTGTAACCCGCTTAAAGGGATTATCAATGCACCAATTGAAATTAGATTGCTTTTTTTTAAATTTTTGTATTAGAAACATATATGTGTATTATCTGAATTATTATATCTACTATTTTGTGACGATATCGTGAAATTGAATTAGTCTATTATATTCTGGAGATGACCGAAGAAATTATCAACATTTTTATTATCTATAAGAAATTATCAACATCAACAAAAATTTTTCTAAAGTTAATAAAATTTTACAAAAAATGCTTAAAACACCAATTTTCAATCCCATGTTTTCCCTACCAATTCAAAGTGAAACTACAAAATTGAAAACTTGAATGTCGTTATGCACAGTTTATAGTGCAATTTCAGAATCTATACAACAAATCCTAGCAATTTTATGAACATAGAAGTGCGGCCGCATATACAGTGTGTCCAATAAGTTCGCGTCATATCGGAAGCTTTTCCACTAATAATTTAGAGACTTTTTTTTATATATATAAAGTTCTGCTGGGTTCAAAACCTCAAATGCAATTAGCAGTTTTTTCAGTGGTACATGAGGTCTATTAGAAAATATCAATTTTGCTCCAGAATAAAGAAAGAATAAGAAGGCCATGGAAAATTTAACAAGACTAGCTGAACAATTTTCAAAAAATGATCGGTGAATTATTAAAACATTTTAGTCGCTTCAAAATCCGATTGTGCAGTATCAACCTTATCAAGATTTAATTGATAAACATATAATCTGATAATCGTAGGTCAAATACCGGTAAAACCAAAGCTTAGTTATGGTTTATATAATTAATCATTTGAACAATTAGCAATTAATCTACTGCTTGTCAGAGACAAGTGTATTGTAGAAAGTCAAATCCGAGTTATTAATAAATCTCACTATAATTGCCAACAAAATATTAATTTGCTTCGACGCAAGATTTTGCTTGCTGTTGCGCGTATTACATTCCAATCAATACCATCATAATTCAACAAATGCTGGGCTCTAGCATTTAAAATGAAAAAAAAAAGGATAAAAACTCTTAATCTCCATATATATATATATAATATTCCATTCGTTCTTGTACTATGTTGTTCAGTAAGTCTGATTTCATTTCCAGCTTGATTAGCATTATGTTTTAATATTTAAATTGTATTAATATTTTATTATTGGGCTGAGAGCGGTAGTCATCTTTTAATCCTTTTCCAGGCTCCTGTAAGAACAGTAAGCAGCCGGCGTGTACATTGAGGAATATCTTCCTCTTCCTGGAAGTTGTGATTTGGCATAACCATAGGATATTAATTAAATATAATTATTTTGAAATAGGCCTAATAGACTTAGGAGAAGCAGGACTATCAGAACATGATTGATTGTTGTTCTTTAACTGATTTCAGACAGGCTCCAACAGTTTCCAAAGTCGAGTCTAGTCCGCAATGTCATGGACGAAACTAACTATTACTAGTGAAAGTTTTTCGCGCAATAGCAGTATTTATAATATGAAAATTATGATTATAGTTAGCTGCTACATGGCTATTTGCTTAAAAATCTTCTTCCATAGCCGCACAAAATTGTTACTTTTACATAATATACGGTTTAAGGACTGTTTCGGTAATTTTTTTTCTATGCCCATTTTATCTTCCTCTGTATCTAATACTTGCAAACGTATCTTCAGATAACCTGATTTGGTCCGGCTTGATGCGTAAAGAACGACATCATAGTCACCCGGGTGTACTTATCTCTGCTATTGTTGTCTTATCGAAATCCTCTACAGAAATCACGTTCCATAGTTAATACCCTTGCTTAGACATAACAACTTAGCTCTGTAGATAAACGGGTTTCTTTACAGGACATTGTAAATATCTGCGTCGATTAGAATTTAAAACGTTTTTCTGGTTTTTAGAAATAAGATTATATTTTATAATGGCTGTATAATAGTGTCAGCTGTTCTAGTGACGAGCTGAGTGCAGTCCCTTTACAATTTTGCTAATTTTTTGTCGTGCAGTAGCACATAATAAGAAGAGTTCTTTTTATCCTTACACATCCCGATTCTGCCCATGCGGCTACCGATTTATCGGCTTTGTTTCGGGGCTAATAAATTTTATTTGGAGAGAATTTTCTCCAAAGAAAGTTTGCCTCAGGGCTAAATAACTTTCCAACATTTAGCAATATATTTGAAATTGATCAAAAGAAGTAATCAACTTGTACGGATGCGCGTGAAAAA